TACAGTTTTTCGCTTTCGACATACAACATAACAAACATAATGCTAGTAATATCAAACAATATACTGTAGTCGATCGTACAGTTGGTCAATAACAGTACCCCTTGTTTACCTGTTGTATGTTGCACGACAAAACGATAGATTGATATACGAAGGTGCAAATTATAAAAAAAAAAAACCTTAAACAACTGGCTAAAATAATTAATATTGCAATTTAATAAGTACCGACTCGAATTCATACAATTAATATTATAAAAGTTACGATTGAAATTTGACCATACATCGGAATAATTTTATAATCCAGTATATAGTCATATTATTATTGTGCTTGTATATAAAATTTAATGAGATGCATGATATTATTCGATGTTCAAATTATAAATAAATTAGCGTTTCGAGTGTGAAAATTGAATTTATTGTTGCAGTATTAATTATATATAATAATATAATGCAAAGTCTTACCTCACAATAAAATGAGACATTAAAATTATCAATTAAATTATAATTTTAATATGTTCTCATCGCATATTGCAATTAAATTATTGTGACATATAAACGAAAACGACTGTCAGTCAATTTGAAACTGTAATATAAATTACTATACGATAGTTCATTTTCAAGTAGTCAAGTGAGTATTATTATAGTATAAATATACTTTTAAATAATACATTAAATGTAACTTCAAATATTATTTGCATTGTATTAGTAAATAATAATTTATTATTGAAATCATGTTCAAATTCCACGAATTGCAACAATTCATAAGCATACAATTATTAGCTCTTAACAACATAACTAAAATATTATTTTATTCTATTGTTACTGTTAACATTTTAGTTACAGTTTTTAAAATTTTTCCAAACTTCACGATTTTTGTTTTATTATGGTAGTATACAGAATGTTCTGTGAGGATATAGCCATTAGCTGTAGAAATGGACTCGCCGCTGGGACAAAAACCGGTTGCTTGCCGTTTTCCCTATAACTTAAAAAAAAAATCATCCAAAATCATGAGATTAATGAAAATAAAATGTCGAAAGTTCAACATTTTTAGAAAATTAAACTCTGCGACAATCTCCAATTGCTTCAAAAATAAAAAATAAAATTATTTAAACTTTTTTACCAAAAAAATTAATTAAATTAAAGAGTAAAATATATTAATGTATTCTTTGTCTCGGTGAGTTTAATAAAAATTAACAGAGTTATGATAAATTTACTATCTAACGAGATATCTTAATGGGTAAATCGTCACGGGATACTATGTATAACAGTGTATTATTGTGTCCATAATATGGGGGTGTAAGGACAAAGCCCATGGCACGTATCATATATTATTTCCCAATTTAGGTGTATATCCAAAACAATAACTACAATTACATCACTAGCTAAGTATACTTATGTGGTTACGTTTAATTAATAGTTATAATAAAATATTATATATTAAGTAGGTACTACCTATCAGGGCTGGATTTAACAGAGGGCCCATGAGTCCCAAATCCCTCCCCCTCACTAAAACATTAATATATGACTGGAAAATGGGCATCCGCAAAACAATTTTTCCCTACTCTTTATATAAATATTAGAAATATTTAAGTTTATTTGTCTCTAATTTTTGGCACCACTATTTTAGGTATGATGATCATTGATCATAATATAACTATATTATAAATTATTATATAACCAAGTATATCAGCAACTTATCAGCCAAGCAGCTTAGTATTACGAAATAATATACTAAATATGTTAACTATTAAGTATGAATGACTCATGCTATAGCGAATACAATCAATAATATTATTATTATTTATAACGATTAAAGATAAATAAGTAATACTGGATTGATATAAAATACCGATAATAATATTTTAATAATATTTTTCTATACAGAAATACTGTGTAGAAAATTACCACCTAATTAAATTTTAAAACCTTGTATTACGATTAACGAATTTTGTTATTCCTATAATTATGATCGGATGATTAAAGTATTGAAATACTTCTATACTCGTTATAGTACATTTATGATGGACGCTTGTATATAATAATATTACTATATGAGTACCTAATAGAGAAACGATAATAAGCTTAATCGTTTAAAAATTTTGTTTGAATATAAATATAATAATATGATATCAGCGAATCTGACATTTTATTGTAATAGACTACACTCCATCCCATCCTATTAGAAAAAATAAAACTCTGCGGGATACAAAATATGAATCCGATATAAAATATCTAATGAATTATGGTGACACGATGTCGTCAAAGCCTGGATTTACATTTTTGAATGGAAAACGATATCGCGTATTATTAATCCGACATATATATAATGATAAAAATGGGTCAGTAAGGCACTACGACACAGCTGATGTTTGTCGTCGTCATGATGCGATATAATTTCTCCGAATTCGTTTACAAAATTTATTCGATTAAAACTAGTGTGATATATATTTTATTGCTTAAGAATTTATCACTTAAATCATTGATATAATACCATACAATTTGTTTGGTCGGATATAGACACGAACGAGATCGTCGGCGGTGCTGTTCATCCAAATGCTTCGGTGGGTGCGGGGAGGGTGGTGGCCAAAGTAGTTGACTATAATTTTATATTATTAAATATATTAATATTCGCGAATTTATCGAGAGTTTCGCGAACTTGTTATTGTTTATAGGTACACCTATCCAGTTGTCGTCGACATCGTTGATTGGCAAAGCGTGTAGACCTGATCAAACCGTTTGTTTTTAAGTACAAGTCGTTTGGAAAGTGTATAATAATATATATATATATATATATATATATATACTCCCGTAGAACGGGCTACGATGTATAACGACGTGCAATTCTGAGCGAGTCAAATGGTCTCAGGAGACGCATAAACAGAGCGTTTGCATCGGCAAAGAGTCGAGGGAAATACGTTTAGCATAATGCGAAATAAACGGAAATAAAAAACTTCGTCAACGTCGTTGTATAAGCGATTGAACGTTGGCATTATAAATTTACAAGGGACTAACTGAAAAACATTATACCTAATTATTGACGAATTAAAATTGTCAGAGAATAATAATCTGTTCACAATTTATATGCATCTGGGATAACTAAAAAAAAAAAAGGTGCTCTGCTGTACAGTAGGTTACAAGTGGGTCACTGTACAATGGATGGTATTAAATTTGAATTCAATGATATAATATCATTGTATAAAAAAAACGATTCTGACCGGAGACTTAAATTGTATTGATATTTTTAGAAAAAAAACTAAAAAAAAAACGGAAAATGAAAATGTCCCTTAACAGTTCAAAATAAATCATAATATTTTGAAAATTTTATGGTGTGTAGAAAATGCAAATATAAACAACCAGTGAAAATGTCATGTATCTACGGTCATTTCTTTTAAAGTTACACCAAAAACCAAACTCGATTTTGTGAAAAATCGATTTTGCGTAAATATTCCCGTTTTTCCTTAATTTATCTTTTGTTTTTCTAGGCGCTTTTGAAAATTACTGGGAATTTTAAATGTTGACCTCCTTAATGCACCAACGATATTCACTTTCTAAACGAACAAGTTACTGAAGTTGAAAATTGAAGCATTATTTCGACTACTTATCGTGTACACAGACACAAATGAAATTAAAAAAAAAAAAAAAAAAAAAAAAAAACATCATTGTAAAATCAATACATTCATCGTTTCACTCAGAATCTGAAAAATAATTATAATATTATACTAATATGCGGTCATGATAATAATATTACCTACCTAGATATATTATTATACAAATAACATGTTTATAGTGAATGTTGAAGAATGAAAAACAAATAATAAAAAAAAAATAAATAATAAAACGCCGATTGACGAGTACTTAGATTGACCCTACCTCAACTCATGTGCTATATTATACGGTTAGTAAGTTGTTACTGTTGTTAGTATATTTTAAATATGTTTATAGTATATTATTACATAATATTATTATTTGCATTATTGTTATATTTATTATTATGCATGATTTATAGGTATCACCGGAGCTCCTTTCGATTATATATTATTTCTAGAACGGAGTTACACTAGTACACTACTGGTTATTTGATTGAGTGGACACATAATTCAATCACAATATATAATATGTTAGGTGCTTATAACTTAATTAATTAGACTTGGTTAACTGAGACAAATTCGAAGACTTATCGACATGTTTTAAGATCGACTCACGTTTAAAAAATACGTATTATAGGTATCTCAATTATATCGGATTTCTTGTACCAGCATAATATTTTATATATTTTTATATACCTAGTATTATGCGGATATACCATAATGTTATCCTGTCTATACCTGTTATACCACTTCGTAGAATATCCACTGTATTCTATTTATCCATAAACCGTTGGATAACGAATTCCAAAGACATCTTATTGCTCTGCCATTTTTTTTTTTATTTCACAAACCACTATATTATATTTTTACAATCAATTTAAAAGCCTTTTGTGGTCTGGACGTGGGTGGTTTGCTTTTCACGTCCGTGATTGACGCGCGTCACAAAATCATAACCAAACCACAACAACACACGCAAGATCCACTCTGTATAACTCTGTATACGCACAGATCATAACAATATTATTAGTGTGTGCTACGGTGCGTACAACATTATTCAATAGAGGAAGTTCCCTCTTAACAATGTTGGTGGGAGTGGGAAGTGGGACGGTCTGCGTGTGACGGGAAAGAGAGCGTTCGATAAGCGCGTTCGGTTGGAGGGGTGTGTGGAGGGGGGGAGTCCATCCGGATGGTGAGCCGAAATCCTCGTGCCGTCCGCGCGTCGAACGAAGTGGTTGCGGACGACAGACGAACGCGCGCGCGGCCAACCGAACGACGTTACATAAATAGTCACTCCGCTCGGCGATATACTCGCGTTTGTCGTGGTCGTGGTCGTCGTAACGATACGCGATAGTTGCAGCTAGTCATAGTATTATAAGTCGCGATAGTTTCGAGCCACGCGGTCGCCGCCGCACAGAAATGGCCGGCGGCTCGCAGTGGCCGCGGTCGTTCTGGACCTCGGTGCTGTTCCTGTCGCTCCTGTCCACGGCGACCGCTCGTTACCGGTTGCTCGTGTTGCATACCAACGACATGCACTCGCGGTTCGACCAGATCGACGAGATGGGCTCGGAGTGCGTCGGGTCCGGCCGGCAGTGTTACGGCGGTTTTCCACGTCTCAAGACGGCCGTCGACCGGGAGCGCCGCCGCGCCGACGCCGACTCCGTCGACGGCACGCTGTTCCTCAACGCCGGTGACACGTTCCAGGGTACGGCGTTCTACTCGTTCTTCAAGTGGCGAGCCGTCGAACGCATGATTCGGACGCTCGGCATCGATGTCATGGTGAGTGTCCGCCCTGCAGAGCCTCTTAGGCCCATCCTAAACAGCCGTGCGGTCTTCACCCAACCCACCTACCCACCCACCATGTGTTGTTTGGTATTTTTCTCACACATTTTATAACATTATCAAGTGCACGTCACACGCCGCAGAGACGGTTTTCGTTAATTATTACGGTCACGGGGATAGTAGAACAGTCGTATAATATAATGGTATTAATTTAAAAATAGTATTATTTTTTAACTGTCTTAGGGGTTGTGGACCGAGGATTTCGACTCGTTGTATGAAAACCCACGCTGTGTAGAGACGATCGGATAAACAAAAAAATAAGTCGAACATTTAATCTTACTAGCATCCGCATTAATCGGACCTAAGAAGGGGGGTAGCAGCAGTGGTCGTGGGGGAATGCTTCTTGGGGGGAAAACTTCGGACGGGGAAAATGACTCAGATTATAATATAGGAATTATATGTAATAGGTTATACGGCAGCCGTGGAGACGTGCGTGGGTTCGGAGTTAGATGTAATCCAACGTTTCGTTTAGATGGAATTCAGAGCTTCAAATACGGTTGTACATCGGTAATGCGCAATAAGTGAATAGTGTTTTTTAATTTTCACGAGTTATAGAGTATAATATAGACTTAATGTAATATTTTAATCAACACTGGTGAAACATTATGATGATTCAAAATGTGTACCTTATTGCGTATTGGTATATACTTAACTAACCGCATTTGTGGTGTACTAGCGTTTAACAATTTTGGTGTATTTTTTTTACTTTTTTCGGTTATGTTAATTAATGTGTTGAATACCGTTAGGTTTTTATTTGGATTTTACAAGAGTTTACTGGTTTTAAATGTTGTGTCGTAACTATAATAAACAAAACTGCAGTTTAAATGAGTTTTCTCGTTAATTTTCAATACTACCGGTTACTATATTCATGATTATAATATATATTATTATTCCATTACTTTAATGTCAATAGCTAATTATGTTAAAATATTCAACAGTTTTAATTTATAAAATTTAGACATACCCATACGAACTTGGCTGGTTACTTGGCTAAGATATATTATATACACACCGGATTTAAACTGAGATTAAAATGTTGATATTTCAAAGTTCAGTATAACCATACGGATATTATTGTGTTATGTTCCCTCAATGTAATACCTAAACAGACGTTACGAATGGACTCTGTAAAAGCCGCAAACTCGGCTGCTGATGAGTTGTAAATAACTTAGTTCTCCAAACCACTACTACTTTCGGCCAACAGTTTTTTTTTTAAGTATTATAATACCTTCTACCACACCAGTGCGCGTCATAATCGTCACCGCTGAGATTTCAATACTTTATAATATAAATTTTCACGTCCACGCAATTGACGACAACAAACGACGACTTCCAAGCACGAGTACTCTCTCGACAAGTACATATTGTCATTGTGCATCGGTTGAGTGTGTGTGTAAACGCGAGCGAGTGGTTGGATATAATATGTGTTAAGTGTGTTATAGAAACGCGAGGCAAAGCGATTTTCTTCTTTCACTGTTCTCGTAGAGGTCTTTTTTTTCACACACACCCACTAAGAGGAGGGCCGGATTTACGCCTAGGCCGGCACATTTTTGGGGGAGGCAAATTTGAAAAAAAAAATGTATCATTGTTTATTATATATTTATAATAACTACTGAATACTGGCCTAATTTGTTTAAGTATTATGCAGTAAATGTATTAGTAAATTATTTTTTACTTGAGGTAGGGGCGACATATTAAAAAGGACCTAGGGTGGCTAATGTTCTAAATCTGACTAAGAGTGCACTGTGATACGTGTCCGCTTATAGCAAGTGCATCATAATAATATGAGTAATATTGGCTATGGGGCAGTGAAGTTTTTGTCAAACACACCATGAAAGAAACTCGACCGATTATTGTTGTTGGTTTAATACACTAGAAAACAATTATAAACATATTATTATTATGGACATACGAGTAACTCGAAACGTTCATAATGTTAATGCTGGATGAGATGAAATTAATATTTTAACAGATTCTAGGCAGAGCCGTGCAATTAAGATTTGGCGCCCAGGGCAAAATTAAAAATATTCACCCCCTTTTTTATTTATCATATTATAAAAAACAATTTTGGCGCCCCCCTAAACCGGGCGTATGTAAAAAATTGAAGAAATTTTTCAAGAGAATAAAATTAAATACTGTTTAGACATTCTGTAAAATGTAGAAAAAGTGAATATTCAAATATTTAACCTTTTCATTGAACGCTATACATATATACCTCTAGTCTTAACGCAATATGTGTATGATGATAATCACTGTAAATTTTCTCAATCATATTATTATTATTATTTATATTTATCTATCTTCATTATTTGGGGTATCACATTAAAAAGGTTAATAATTGATAAGATACATCGTATGGTGTGAAAAAACAAAAAATCGATTAAATACATTTATCATTAATTAATACTATATAAGTGCGTATAACATATTATTACAATCTTAATTAAAAAATCGAGTTTACTGGTCATATTTTGTTTTTTAATAATGATGCTATTCAAAGAAATATACCCAATTTCATAATAATAGTAATTGTATTTAATTATTCAGTTTTGTTACATAATATTATATAATACAATATTGGTAGGTACCTACGCGACGAAAAATAAATTGAAAATCAAAACAAAACGTTTTTGTATGCATAAATTAAAACCTGATGTTATCCGAAGTTGGTGACGATGTTATTAATATTTGTTTTACCCCTGCAAAATATCCTACTGCCGGAACGATAGGTATAAAATGTAATATTATGTACAGCACGTCTATGTGTATATTGGACGTAATTATAATTTATAATATAACTAGGAACTCATTTTATATTCGAGAGCAATAACTTTGTCTCTCTCAAAAACCTTGGTAATTTAGATTAAGGCCGTTTCAAATTTAAATATATGTCATTTTATGAATAAATTGTTTTCTTTTTTTCGTTTTACTTAAATCGGTTTAGAGTTTATACTCGAAACGGTATAACCACCCCGCTCTTTAAAGCGTTTAGTAAATGCAAATTAAAAATTGCAAACAAAATAAACATTATTCATCATGTCTCAAACTCAGCCTTAGCAGGGTTATAAAGCGATTATCCCGTAGGAATTAAAGAATAATATATAATTTAGTGTCAACTGAAACACTATTTTTATACATAATTCCTTCGAGGAAAATACAGTCTTAGTAAATGTAGATGTAGTTCACGTTTAAATAAGTTAAATATTTAAAACGAGCAATTCGATGGAATTTAACACTATTTGTTCAAAACTTGAAATTTTCGTTTCATTTTTTTTACCTTGCCGATAAATAAAATATCACCAAAAAAAGTCTAAAAAAACAATTTATTGTTTGAATACAACCAACATCCAGTAATAAAAATAAAATTAAGAAAAAATACGAAATGAAATAATGAATCAAAACGTATACTTAATTGGTTGAATGTAAATAATTGACTGATCATTATATAAATGCAAATACCACGTTATCCCGTAATACCTATATTTATAAATCATAAGGAAAACTTTGATATTTTTTTATTTACTTATACTGGTCATCGAGCGAAAATTCAATTTTAAGACGTAGTACCTATAACATTATTGTATTTAATATACAATTAGTAATATATTCTCATTTTTTAACATTCAAAATGATATAGGCATACCATATTAAAGAAAAAAAACAAAGAATTGGCTTTAAATTAAAATTGATTAATTTGATATACTATAAAATCAAATCCATATACTACATCCAATATGAAATGACATTGTAAAATATATGTATAAATATTATATATAATTATATGTTTTTTTTTTTAATAATAACAATAATAATGTATCTCATTTTTCAATGGTTAGTACCTACGGATTCAAGTAGAATGTAATCAGTTGTCACTATATTCATTATTTTTAAGAAGTTTAAATTATGGCGAGTAATTCAATAACATATTGTTAGAACTCTTACGAGTTACAGATTTACATTAAAATAAACATTTTTTTTTTATTTTATCTTGCAAATAAGCTTGATCAGTATGAAAGTGCTAAATCTTAAAACCGATATATATATTGTGGCAGAATACAATATTTACAATCTAAACCAAAATAGTATCAAAGATAATTTTCACTAGATTATATTTTAACATATATTTCAGTTGTACGTGTATCTATAATAACGACATGCGTGCAATAATTTGCATTACTAGCAATGATAATAGACGTAGTCACTACCTATAATAGATAAGAATAATAAAAAAAAAAAAAATGGTTTCGATAGAAATGCATCTTATAATGTATATAATTCAAAATAATATTCAAGCCGATCTTCGACTATACAGCGATGCTTCACCAAAACGGATAAATCAGAGCCGATAAAAATATTCAAGCAATTATTGCCACGGGAATTTATCAAATAGCTGGTATGCGTAAATTACATTATTGGAACTAAGGTACTTATAAAGGCGTTATTTTACAAGGCACCTGTGCTTGGATAATCTATGTATATATAGGTACAAGTTTTGTTGGCACATCGGCCAACTGATTAGGGGTAATACTGGGTGTAGGGTGATTATTTTAACAGTAGAAACTCATTAATCATTATCTTAAAAAAGAATTAGCGTTTTAATGTATCGTTTTTTTTTTACTTCATTCGAAGTACTATTACATTGTTTGCTATTTTTGTTGCAATAAATGTATCAATTTTAGAAAAGTGGAGTACAATTTTTCGGGATATTTCTATGAGCCACGAGCTTCACATTTTTTAAATACAAAACTATGTTCAAAAACGTGAGTTCTTTTCAATTTTCGAAATGATATGTGATTACTGTTTTAAGAACTATTCAGTACCTATAATAGAATTGTTAAAACGTGTACTGTACCTATCTACCGCTGATAGTAGCGAAACCGCGAAATATAATCCAATGTGCAGTATAATATAATCATCAAAATGTTATTCGATAATTAGAAAGAAAAACGTTTGTCACATCCAAGTCAATATGCTGAATTTCAGTTCAACACGTGTCACATAGTATAATTTAATACATATATCATATTATTATCTACTATGTAGGTAAAATGATTTTTTTTCAAATAGATTTACTAGAACAAAATCGTCATGATTAATCTGTAACTGATAGGAATGATTTTTTGCTAAATATATACTATAATATAATACCTATACAACTTGAAATGTTTACAGACCAAGTGAAAACAATGTCAAAATAAATGTATTACCATTCTATAATATTATTATCATTATTATTTAATTATTGTTATTACACATGATACGTCATATTATTTTGTATACGCATGTTTCAGTCTTTGGGAAATCACGAATTTGACGACGGTGTGAGAGACGTTGAATCGTTTTTAAGAAGCATAACCATACCAGTAGTAGCTAGTAATCTCGACCTAACCGACGAACCTGTATTGGCCAGTGAGCCAAACTTGATGAAGTCTAAAGTTCTGACGGTGAATGGTCGCAGAATTGGAATTATCGGATACTTAACGCCGGAAACAGAAGTGAGTACTACACACAATATTATATAATAACTTATAATAGTAGGTAAATACATTTCTGTACCGTTCATTAGGTACTTATTTGGTGTTATTTCGTAAACATTTTGTTTTCCACTCCATAAAGTTATAATAGGCCGATTCTTTTATCACTAAATAGTTATTTTTCGGTAGGGTCTTGAAAAAAAAAAAAAATTCAGTCTTAATAATGTCCATACGTGCAGACGTGAAAATAAATCCTGCTCAGACCAGTGAGCTGCTTATTGGATTCGGTTAGGTTAAGGCGACGTGCCTATTAAATGCGTAGTTATAAATTATTATTACAATCGTATAAAACTACGACTGTGAGACTTTTGTAAAATAAACCGTGCGAAATTAATTAATAACTCTTAAGGACTATAGAAAACGAAAACGGCACGCTAAAATAGAATATTTCAATTGTCACCGGTAAAGAGAAACGTAAAATAATTTTAATTAAAATAATTCTTGTTGTGTTGATGCTATTATTATAACGTCAACGTTTTAGAAACATCATTAAAATACTGAAAACAGTGAGACAATACGGCTACGTCGACAATATCAAAACTGTGCAATCCACAGTGAAAATATTAGAAGGTATATCCGTGATGGTTGTGAACAGAACATCTAGAAGTGCAATAATAATTTACAATATCAACATTTAAGCGTTGGACGATTTAAATACTACAGAAATACTGATCAACAATTATTTGGTTTTTATCAAATAAGTAACACTTTTAACTTATTACCACGACAATAATAATAATCGATGTAACAATATCATGTCCACCGCTGTGCCCACTATAATAGCTGGTGTCTTGTCAGGCTGGCGGAGGTCGAGGTCGATGTCGTCGACCAGACCGGTTGGCTGGTTGGCTCGACCTCGCGGACGTTGATAAGAAAGACCAACTTTACGACCGAGACAAGATATTATAAATTATTGAACCGTACATTTTGCATTTGCATACTAAGTGCGCAAGGTAAATGAGTTCAGTTAGGCATCTTATCAGTGGGAAAGTAATGTGCACGGCGTCTGCTGAGGTTCAACATTAAAAAAAAACGGGGGAATGTACATAGATAACCACTCTAGGTCAATGGCGTCCAGACAGGTTAGCAAGTACTGCAACTGCATGTGCTCTCGAGGGGGGTGGGTGTAAATTACTGCAGGTGTCACAGAGAAGTTTCTATACATTTACAACCAAAGCATAGTAGTCTATAATAATTTCAGTGAGAACATTATTTTTAAATAAAAAAAAAATGCGTGACTAACTTGTTTAACTGCATGTGCTCTGAAAAAACAGTTGAAAATCAAGCATTTTTTTCCCACAACAAGTCGTGGATATATACACAAAAAAACCGACGTCAATGTTAAATCAATACATTCATCGCTTCGCTCTGAATCTAAAAAAGATAAAAAGAAAAGACCCATCATATTTTTTCGTATTATGATGCATATTATTTTAAATATATTATATGCCCCCGAGAAATAAAAAATAAAACGTCAGTTTATATTGTTACGCTTGTTGTGTTTGAATTCGTCTACAGTGTGTACGACTGCAGAATATATTATTATATCCGATAACATCGAATAATCGTAATAATTGCAAAGTTAACAGACACAACAGTATTCTCAACCTATTAAAGCTCGACTAAAACCACTATTTCAGATATTATACTGGTTTCACAACTAGTCGGGAAAAATAGCCCTTCCCGATTAATCATTTTAAAAGGCATGTAATACTAAACTATTAGCGCTCCTGGTGGGGAAAAAGTTCAAACAGTTTTATATAAAAACTATACATGTCATAGTTTTATCTATAATAATTGTGATAGCATGAAGATAGACTCGGTGATTCCCAAACTATGTTCAATGGAACCCAAGGATTCCGCCAGATGTATGTAAATATTGAGAAAACTATTTTATTTTAACATTATAAAGTTCACCTAAATAATAGTTACTGTAGTAGGTATAATATTGCTATAAAATGTTCGTTTTACACACGTCGGGGTTCCACGATACTTTTTCGTAAGGGTTCCGTGGTCGTAAAAGTTTGGGAACCGCTGGAATATACAATGACCACGGTCGAAGGTATGCAACCGTGATAATAACTGATAGTTATCGTAATTGTCCGCTAGAGGCGCTAAACCTTAGTTCTGTCATGCACATTAATTGGGAGCCTAAACGGAACGGGCCACAAATTCGTATTATTTGACATATCCGTTGTGTAACCAATATACATAGTATCTTCAATCGTGATTAAGACGTAGTTTTGTTTTCGTTTGTTTTAAGCTTATAGCACAAACCGGCAACGTAAAAATACTGCCAGAAATCCCATCGGTTGCGGCCGAGGCGAAACGTCTGAAAAACGACGGGGTGGACATTCTCATAGCTTTGGGACATTCTGGCTTCGAAATGGACATACAGATAGCCAGAGACGTCGAGGACATCGATTTGGTAATTGGCGGACATTCAAATACTTTTTTATACACAGGTGAATATAATATTTTACTATAATGTACGTATAACGCAACGTGGTTTTTATTAATTGGAAAGTCGATATAATATAGCCACAATTCTAAAAATGTGGTGTGGATATTTAAATATTTTAGTGTAATTTTTTTTAAATACAACCCCCATACTATTATGTTTCAATCTACGATCAAGCGAGAAAACTGTAGGTACGTTTTAGCATTTGGTGTATTTTTGAAAATATGAATACCTACATTTATTTAAAACTCGATAGATTTAAAAATTGTTTTTAGTTGTATTAATATAAAATGGTTATTTTTGATTTTCGAAAAAAACCGTAATTGTATTTTGGGTTTTTTTTTTTTTTTGCCAAAAATTATTAGACGTATCATATTACATTACGACACTAAAGTATTTTTAGTTTTATTTAGCTCAATTGAGCTACTGTCATTATTATACTTTATGGTGACTTTCTAATTAATTATAATACTGATTACTTGGGATATAATATTTTTATAAAGTAGGTGATAATGATACTATTATAATAATAAAAGTAGTTTGTATCTTTTAAAGGAAAACCACCGGGTATCGATAAGCCTGTCGGCCCATATCCTTTTATAGTGAAACAGCCAAACACCAAAAGGAAGGTGCCCGTTGTCCAGGCAAATTACATCACCAAATATTTGGGTGAATTGTGGATGGAGTTTGATGATGCCGGTGAAGTTATCACATGTTATGGAAACCCAATTTTATTGGATTCCAGTATCAAACAAGGTATACATATAAACCCACGAATTGTATAATACCTTAAAATATATTTATAATTTATACGGCGTGTTGAGGTAAAAGTAAAGTTGGCGCTACAACATTTTTGCAAAATATTTCAAAATATAGATTTTCATCCAACCTTATAGTACTTGATGAATAATATTGGACATTGGTTGGAAAAAAATAAAAATAAAAAATATTTATCGAATGCAATATTTACGAGTACCTATAAAGGTTTTTTAGACATTGTGTGGAGCTTGTGGAGAAATTTTCTTCTAGATCAATAGCATTATATTATATTATATATTATAAAACAAAGTAAAGTTATAGAACTTACATTCTAGAACTTTGGCAATACATCGCGTTTTCACGGTATATATTTGCGTTCACACTTCCAACAACTCTAAAAAATGGTACAACCAGTGCGACTATTATAATAGCCCCTATTTTAATAAAAAAAAATACGACCCAACAACCTTTGTTCGTTTTTAAATCGAATATTTACTCCAGCGACCAGCACTATATTTTCCGATGGCTGAAAAGTGAAAACTTTATAAAACGTTGTCCATTGTGACTGCATGGAACATCAATAGGGAAATAATTTATAATATTGTATAATTGTTATAGATCCCGAAGTATTGACCGAAGTAAGAACGTTGAAAGAAATGATTGAGAACAAGACTAAACAAGTAATCGGTTCGTCCAGCGTATTCTTGGAAGGCGAAAATGAATATTGTAGGTTCAGAGAATGTAACCTGGGAAGTTTCATAACGGACTCATTCGTAAATTACGTGAGTAATAAAAATAATATATTTATGATATGGTAAAAATAATAACAAAAAAACAAAAACGGGTCATGTACAGAATATTCGAAAAAACATTAAATCGTTTGACCTGACCAAATACTGGACCGATGCGCCCATATCGTTGATACAAGCTGGAGGGATACGGACAAACATCAATAATTTAAATAGAGGTGGTAAGTTAAACATAGGAGCAAAATAGAATTATGAGGGATGTAGTTTGAGATAGGTTTTACATAGGTTTTAAATGAGCATATTGTGTGTATTAAAAGGTAACATCACTTTTGGAGATTTATTGTGGACGCTGCCGTTTAAAAATGATATAGGTAAAATCACGACTACGGGTTCAGACATTTGGACAGCTTTTGAGTACTCCGTTCGGCGGTACAGCACAACGGTGTCCAATGGTGAATTCCTACAAGTTTCAGGTAAATTAACTAAATCGGTGTAAATAATATGTTATGTGTGCGTATTCATATATAACATTATTATCTTCTATTTTATGAAAATACGACAATAATTGTATAATAATATGATAATATTATGATATCAATACGCAGTGACAATATTTTCGTAGCTTAATGAAAAATGGTGATTTGCGATGAAATACTAATAATTATTTCTCAGTAATCTGATCAAGCTAACACACGTTTGATATTATCATCCAACAGGATTAAAAGTCGTATTAGACTTTGGTCGGCCCAGTGGCGAGCGGGTGCAATCCATTTACGCTAGGTGTGGAAATTGCGCCGTTCCCAAGTACGAGAAATTGGATTTAAACGCCAATTACACGATAATTATGAGCAAATATCTGTCAAGTGGCGGGGACGGGTTCTCGTTCAAAAAATTGGTAAAATATCAGAGTTTCGGTGAGTGTGACGCAAATATTATACATAGAAGAAACATTTACCACAGTATTATTATATTAATAATGTACACGTGTGTTCGTAAAACCAGGAACATCCGATTTGAACATCATTGAAGAAGAGTTCCTTGTGAGGTCACCGATATGGCCGGAAGTCGGTCAGCGGATAGTGCTGCTCAACGTGGGAGACTTGAACAAGGCGAAGGCAACTAGCAGCGATAGCCAACGCCTTTCGACACCCCTGTCCGACCTGACATTATTACTGTTGACGATCGCGGTCACGTTGTGTCTGACGGACCGACTTATTGTATTATGATAATATTAATACAGGTTCTATATATATACAGCGATCACTCAACACTTTGCTCATGAACAATATTACATTTTTTAATAATAATATGTTTTTACATTTTAAGTATTAATAATTATTGATAACGACGACGACGACCACGTCTTTTCGTTTAACGGCCACAGCAGTATTGTTTGAATTATAAGCTCAACAATTAAAACGGACCAAGTGTCAATATTATTATATTACGGCCCCACCTGACGAGTATACAAAGGACTCGTGTAAATCGTAATATTACACATTTTGTGAAGTTATAGCCGTGTAGATATTATTATAGTAGTATGTGCGTGTAGTGATTTTTGGAAGATAAATCGATAAAACGTGCACGACGACCGGAAAAAAATTACATATCACTGGACAGTATGAGAGTACGTGTACATATTATTATATAGATAATTCTCACGTGAATTTACGTTACTTGAAATGTACTATATTTTATGATATTGAATAAAATTGTAATAATGATTTTTAATCGGTGGTTCTCACTTTTTATTTTATACACGTGTTTATAAATTATTTAATAAACGATTTTTTACTCACATGCCTGAATTGTTACGTCTCTGTACTTATGAGTATCGTAAAACGGTAGCCATTTTTGATTACCTATTTATATCATTTAATATATTATAGGTACTATAGTATAATGATATTGTTAATGACGATTAATATTATTATTGTTGTCTCTAGGCGCCGGAAATCGGATATATTATCATATATTATGTTCTAGTGCCGCGTTTCCCAAAGTGTGTTCCGCGTAATCCTATGGTTCCTCGGGACTATATCAAGGGTTCCGCCAGATGTGTGTGATTATTGTATTGAGAAAATTATTTTATATTATATTTGGGTTATTTATATAAATATTATTATTTTATATTATCAAAAAAAAGTTTACCTATATAATAGTTATTATACAGTATAATATCGTTATAAAATATTTGTTGTATGTACTTTAAATTGATAAATTAAACAATGAAACAGTTCCATTCTTCTCATTAATAATATTAATAGTATGTATATTTTAAAATCTATAATTTGTTAAAAATAAATATTTGTTATCACAAATATTAATAACATAAAATAATAAATGTTTGTTATTTAAATAAATAAAATTTTCATTGAAATCTGTTTTTTTTTTTAACTAATTGTAATAAACAATAATCATTTATCCTTATAACATTTTTTGTAGTAAGTACTGGTTTTTTTAGGAAAAATGGGGTTGAGTTGGAATTAAAGACATTAGGGTTCCGCAAAACACAAACTATTTCCTAAGAGTTCCGTGATCCTAAAAGTTTGGGAACCGCTGTTCTAGTGTATATATATCATTATATTGCGGTCGATATGCCAAACGATTTTTGAATTTTGGATAGATTTTGTTACTATAGTATATAATAATAATATATACTTAAAATAACATTGTGGTTAAAATATTTATTTTTTCGCACCAAAATATTAAGTTCTGACAAGCAGACGATGTCATTATCGCAAAGGCCATAAACTACGTGTGTAGGCGATACGGGAAACTTATACCGGGTGGGAATGACTTGAATACAGTCCATTTTCTGGTCTAGTGCACACGCGAAGATAGAATACAAAATGTATAAATTGAGAATCGAGATGGATGGTGTACAGCTATTGACACGTGCCCGTGATACCCTCAACAACGATCTAAATCTAAAAGTCTCGGAAATGAAATCAAAAATTCAAAATTGATTTATACATTAGGTGTAGGTACACGTTCGTCTAGTAAGAGGACGGCGCCACGACGGTCTTATAATATGAGAGCATGTTGCACATAATATGTAAGTTCAGTACCTACAATAGTCAATAAGCTAACAATTTTTTTTACCACTGGACGAGTTTAAAATAACAATTTTTTTTGTTATCCAACATGCACAGATCTATCAATCGGAGTATTATTTATATCTTTAACGTAACAGTGATAACATTCAAAACGCAAAGTCGTGGTTGTGTCACGCGATGAATATAGTTATGAGTGTTATTATTACTACGAGGAGTTACTAAAGTTTCTATATAATATCCCCTCGGGAGTGTATAATAGCTTATACGTATTGGTATTGTATGTTGTTATTTCCACCACCGTTTTAAGTCTGATAAAGTGATAATAATAATAACAATAATAATAATAATAATAATATTAATAATAGTAAAATTAGTATAAATTAAAATAACAATAAAAACATAAATTAAAATAACAATCATAATAAAAGTCAATATTAATAAAATAGGCAATAACAAAAATAGCCAATAGTAACAATAATAATAACATTAATAATTCACCTACAACATATTAACACATCCGTCATTTTACAGTGTGTAGATTAAATTAAGACGAATGATTGTGAAAACATGCTCCTCTAGTGACCGAAAAATGGTTAGATTTTTAAACCGTAAAAAAATATGGAAATGGAACTGTCCAAGTCTTAGAATAACTGCCTCTCATGTTTATATAAATTATGATGAATTAATCAAAATAGACTTCCGCTATTGTTAAAATTAAGTTGAAATGAACTATACATTATACATAGATGTACACTGAAGTGAATAGATCCAATTGTAAGTATGCGACAATAATTTATAAGACAGAAGCTTTCATTAATAATTGTCACTGTTCGTATTTTGAGTTTGGAAATGTAAAGAAGAAAAATGTCTAATGATTTGAAATGTTAACTATAGGCAATACAACTAATAGGTAGGTAAGTTTATTTCAGATAATTTAAAACCATTAAATAGGTACCAGAGTAATATAAATAATATTATGGTGCTGCCTATACGATAACTCTATTGATTACCAATATAACATAATGTATAAAATAATTTAATCATAATAAAAATGGAGATGTAAAACACGACGTATAAGCAGATAATATTATGACCAATAAAAATGTACCGTGGCATTTATAAATGGTCAAAATGAAAACATAATATTGTGTTGACCTGACATACGTCTCTATAAGTATATCTCCAGCCCTCTAGGGTATTCTTTGTTGTGGATTAGTTTTCCATCGAGCCAACGAGGTAGGTACCTTCATCGTTTTTATGTTTGGCGGCTTTGATGTCGTTCCTTTTGGGCTTTGGGAGATTATATTTTAAGGACATATATTATTCAAACTTAAAAACGTTATATATTTATAATATCATATTGTAAAAGGCCACACGGGCATAAAATGAGTGGTTACTGCCTATGAAGGAAAATGAAATAATAAAAAAAAAAAAAAAATACTTAGACGAATATCGCGTTAAGTCTTATCGAACTTCAATATTTCTATAATTATATTATTATATTAATAATCTAATAAATGTCGATACTAATGTGTACAACATTATACTACATAGCCTTAAAATATGAGGTCGTGAATCGTGATACTATAGCTTATCACTGCATCACCCGAAAATATATGAGCTTGTTAGTAGGTATCAAATTTAATAACTCATACAATTAAATATTTATTGTTCAAGATATAAGTGAGATAAATTTATGAATATTTTTCTGGTTGTCATAACAAGAACACATTACTTATATTAAAAAAAAAGAAAAAATGTTTTTAATTCAAAGTGTGTAACTGTTATTGTATTGCAATAGTTCTTAGTTTGCATAATGATTATACATAATATAGTTATATTAGTTTAGAAACTTTAGCCTACGTCATAACGAGAAATTTAATATAATTTTAAAGAGCCAAAACTTATAGCTGCCAAATCAGATAACAATAGGTGATGCAGAAAAGTGTTCCTTTAAGGTCAGGGGTTTAATTATTTTACAGAAAAAACTAAAACTCTAATTTAAATATATAATGCCTATTTCTACATTCATATGACATTTTAACTGATAATGGTTTTACATATTTTATTCATGTACCAATAGGAATTATTAACACCGTTCGGATTTTTAAAGCAATAACTCAATATATACTATATAATTTACAATTTAAAATTCTATAACATATTATATAATTATAAATACATTAGATTTGATGACAAAATATTTACAAACAAAATAAGGTTAACAGGTACAATTATTAATACATTTTAAACTATTACATGAATGATTATATAATTATAATTAAATGATTATAAATTGTGAATTTTTACTGTCTATGGACATCATCTTTATTAAAGGGATATTTTTTGAGCAACAATTCCGACTTATAATCAGTTACCATAATAATATAGTAGATAAATTAATGATCCCTGATGTGTTACATAGGAGGAATGTCGTTCCAACAAACGGACAATATATACTCCGTAAATAATAATCCGTAAAAAGATTCTGTGGGTCAAAATATGATGATGATATTGTATGATTATCGTATAGGTAATTCAATATTTTTTTCAATTTTTTAATACAGATAGGTACGATTGGCAAAGGCCCACGACGTGTATTCGATAAGTTAAAATATGATATCAATCGGTCGCTTTTCCTGTGACTGACGATATACGATTCCCCTGGGAGTGCCGAGTATTGGTGTGATACCGCGGGTGGGCCACCGTGTTTTGACGTTTTTCCACGATATGGATGATACAGAAAACCGGGAAAACACGGTGGCCCGCTCAGTATTGTTTTTTTATAATTTGATTTTTTTTAATACGCTGAAGCGAAGACGATGGCTGTTGTAATTAATATTACCTACCGTATCTGAATGCTGTACTTTCTTAGATTATTATTATTATGTATTAAATTATACTCTACAGACTACAATATTATGTACTATAGTATGATTTTGAAAACGTGTAATCGGCTATTTATGAATTAGAGATGATTATACTATAGTCTATAGTTATAGTTTGTCTATATAACAAAGAGATCAAGATACGTCATGAAGAGAACGAGAGCTGAGATGATTATTTTATCTCTGACGTTACAATTTCAATACAATATAATATAATATTGTGTTGAAATATTACATAGTATTATATCCAACAGGTAGGAAAGGTTACGTCGGTGACGT